AGAATGTCTGAGAGTTAGAGTCCTAGAATTACCTTCATCGGTAAGAACTGGTGACACGTTATATCGAGCACTGCTCTTTCTCACTCTTCCATGCCCTCACTCTCAGAGCTCGACCTGTAGACCTTTTCAGCGGTCTCTACACCCTGGGCCAGCAGACGGAAGTGGGCAGGAGGCAGTCACAGTTGTGTTGTCCTGAGGTCACTGCTTTTGTCCTGCTGCACCCTCTGTGACCCCGAAAGAACACACTGTGAGTGGGTGGCTGTTGTCTTGGTGGGCTTGAAGAGAAGAGGAAGAAAAGCAGAGCTGAGGGTTAAGAGCTGGCTTGGTGACCATAGCACCTGTCTATAGAATTTCATTCATTTATTCATTTGCTCTCTCATTCGGTTTTCCAAGCATTCAACAAATACATATTTTGTTCTTACTATGTGCCAGAAACTTACATGCTGTGGATACAGACAAAGGGAGATGAAGCAGATAGAAACATTGCATTTAGATATTTGTAATACAGTGAGATCATTTCCTGGTCATTTTTAGTTTAGTTGTAACTTTTCTAAAAATAGGCAGACATGGAAACATACACCCAATGATACAGGCTAGCAATCTTCTACCTTTCTAGTAAAATTCAATTACAAGTAAATCTATGCCTCAAAAACATTAGCATGACTGAAAACCCCCTACTTGCAGCCTATATTTAGTACTCCATAGTGATGCCAGCTCCCAATGAGAGATGAGAGAAGGATAGCACTATTCCAAGAAATGAGGGTTTTTTTTCTGGAAAAGAAAACATGTAGATAGGCATATAGTGAGCACCTTGCGTCAGTTGTCATCATCATCTTCATCATTGTTTTAGGCAAAAGAGACCACACCTGCAAAGGTTTGGAGGGATGAGAGACAACATGGCATGTCAAGGAGTTTAAAGAAACTTGTGATCAGTCTCGGTGTGGTGAGATGTTGGACTGGACAAACAGGCGGGGGACAGACCATGGCGAATGTTGGCCCTGGGGAGCCACCAACGCATTCTTAGTGTCCTCCACCTCCACCTCCCCTAAGTAGGCTCTTATGACCATTCACCTGGACTTCTGCTCAGATGAAAGATTACTTGACATCTCTGCTTCCCCTTTACCTTGGTTGCTATATTCCTGGTCATAGCTCTCATGACTTCCCATCATGCCTAAAACAAGGCTCCCATTGGATCATTTTCATACTTACAAACCTGCAGTGGTTGCCCATTGTCCATGGAATTCAGCCAACTGTCTCAATGTGGCATGTGAGCATTGCTGGGCTAGGGCTGCAGCTAAACTGTGCAGGGTTCTCTTTTATCATCCTCTGTGTGACCGCTACAGTCTTCCCAGGTGGCACTAGTGGTGAAGAACCCACCTGCCAATTCAGGAGACATTAAGAGACATGGGTTTGATCTCTGGGTTGGGAAGATCCCCTGGAGGAGGAAATGGCAACCCACTCCAGTATTCTTGCCTGGAGATCCCATGGAGAGGGGAGCCTGGAGGGCTACAGTCCCTGGGGTCGCAGAGTTGGACGTGATTGAAGCAACTTAGCATGCATAACCTCTATATCCAGCCACATGCAGCCTCTTGCTTCCAAATACCTTCTTGCCTTCAACATCCTTCCTTCTCCATCATTTAAAATCTATGCACCTTTCAAAGCTCTTCTCCATGCTACCGCCTCTTTGGAGTCTTTTCTTCTTTGAAGATTCCCAGTAGGTTGTGTCTTCTGCCATCTCTGACCCTCACTTTCTATTTCCTCTGAGGATCTTTTATGACACCGCGCACTGGTCTGTTTCTTGAAACAATCATATGCTCTCTGAAGTCTTTCTTCTATGGAGGATCTTTTGGGATGAGTATCCTGTAGAATACACTTTAACAAACACAATGCAAAGATTTGGAACCAGACCCCAGGGAGCACTCTACCACATCCCCCCCACTCTGGTCTGCTTGAGTTTCTGATGAAGGGAGGCTGGGGTACTCTGGAGAATGCGGCAGGAGATGAGTGGCAAGGGCAGGCTGGAGGCTATAGCCACACTGCAGCCCACCAGGCTGATCACTGAGACCAAGGAAATGGCTAGTCCAGGATCTCTTTCAATGTAATAAAGGCTAAACCCAGTCATTAGGCTGCAGGTTGGAGATAAGATGGGTGAAAAGAAATTTGCTGAAAGCAAATCAAATTGGTGGTGGTGGTTTAATCGCTAAAGTCATGTCCAACTCTTTGCAACCCCACATACTGTAGCCTTGCCAGGCTCCTCTGTCCATGGAATTCTCCAGGCAAGAATACTGGATTGGATTGCCATTCCCTTCTCCAGGGGATCTCCTCAACCCAGAGGTCAAACCCAGGCCTCCTGTATTGCAGGCAGATTCTTTCCTGTCTGAGCCACCAGGGAAACCTCGCAAATCAAATTATTCCCCCTAATTTTCTTCCCTCCTCCCTTCCTCCCTCCCTCCTTCCCTCCCTTCCATCCTCTCTACCTTCCTTCCTTTCTTTCTACTAACAAGTATCTCTGCCAGGTGGTTAAAAGCCCTTGGCCCAAGGCCTCGCAGTTCACCTAGATGCTCCAGTTTGTCTTGTTTCCCCAGTTAATTACTGTTATCAACTTTTCAGATTTTTGTAAACTCAACACACTGAATAATGAGGTTAATAAAACCAGTGAACTCCTTTGTCATGTACACAGGCTATCTCTATAAAAATGTCAAATGTATTATTAGCTCCTATTTAATCATCTTTTCTCGTCTCTTATAAATTTATCCTAAGTGACCTATCAGCTTTTCAGTGGGGACTTTACTTATTTGGTGTTAGATTAGCAATTTCTCTGGACTTGATTAGAGTCTGTATATTTATAGCTTCTAACACTTCTGCACTGAATAATTTTTCCAGTGAACATACATCTGGAATCCAACAAATCAGACAAACATGAAGCCCCCAGCAGAAACATTGACTGTCTCTGCCATTCCAGACCTTGGGAAAACCACTTCAACTAAAAAAACTTCATATTGACCCTCAGTTCACAGGGTTACCAGAAGATTAAATAATGCAAAATATTCAAGTATAGGATTCTTTTTAAGAGAAGAATCAGTCTTTAAAATTGCCACACATTCATTCAACACTTACTGGGAGCCTCCTATGGGCCAGACGCTGTACCAGCTCCACAGATACAAATTCAATCAGCCAGATACTGTTTGCAGATCCCCTAGCCTCCCAATGTTTATGCACTAAAGGGCCAGACAGGCTTTCAAACAGCTTTTTAGATTGCTTTCAGGAGCATAGAAAAAGTAACAATAGATAAGCTTATTTTGGGCTTCCCCAGGGGCTCAGCAGTAAGAATCCACCTGCAATGTGGAAGACGCAGGTTTGATCCCTGGGTGGGGAAGATCCCCTGGAGAAGAAAATGGCAACCCACCCAGTATTCCCACCTGGAGAATCCCATGGACAGAGGAGCTGGCAGGCTACAATCCGTGGGGTCACAGAGAGTCAGACGTGCCTGAAGGGACTGAGCATGCCTGAACACAAGGTTCTTTTACAAAGACAGGATAAATGGGCTCAAGCCAAACACATGGTCTAAAAATCGAGTTCTATTTAAAATGCAAATAAACCCTTGAGGCAAAAGATACTTTTTGCTTTTCTTTGGGGTGCAAACTGTCCCTGAAAAATAGCAAATCCTTTGGACTGAATTCCTGTACTACTTAATAGCCTGCCAAGAAAGCAAACACAAACACTGAAAGTCAAAGACGGGGATGCAGAAACACGGAGCGTGGGTAAGTCAGGGTCATTCCAGGGAGAGAATCAGCAATGGCCATGAGTGCTGGGTTTAATGAAGGATCCAAACATAGAACCCGTGAGAAACCGAAGGTGGCTGGAAATTTATTGAACACATCAGGCTCTACTCAACTGTGACCAACACGGAAGCCTGGAAATGTGGCTGGCTGGGATGCACAGTCTAGAAGTTACTTCCAAGTATGGGCTAAGTGATGGGCTTCCCCGGTGGCTCAGATGGTAAAGAATCTGCCTGCCAATGCAGGAGACCCAGCTTTGATCCCTGGATTGGGAAGATGCCCTGGAGAAGGAAATGGCAAACTCCAGTATTCTCACCTGAGAAATCCCATGGACAGAGGAACCTGGTGGGCTGCAGTCCATGGGATCGTAAAGAATCAGACATGACAGTCTAGATATAACTTTCAAGTATGGGCTAAGTGATAGGAAACTCAAAGGTACATTCATACATCCGCGATGAGCTCATCATCAAGGTGTAGTGGGGACTCAGTCCAGTGAAAATATGATGAGGAGAAATAAGCCCTACTGCCTGAGTCTTGCAGAAGGTCCTAAGGTGATAATAGGAGAGATGCTCTCAGCATTTCCTGTAAGTATAGTGATAACTATTGAGTACCTACTATGTGTCTGACACTGTGATAAGCACTTGATTGATTGTTTTTTAATGTCATTCAATACTCCTTTGAAATAAGTTACTGTCACCACCCCATTTAAGGGATAAGAAAATTAAGGCACAGAGATGTTAAGCAGTTTGCCATGGCCATTTCTGCTGTTGGATCCGTGAACCTGAATGAATTCAGAGCCTCTGTTTATAACCTCTGACCTACAAGGGGCTGGTTGTTCCCTTTCAAAGACTGTATTTTCCATCATGGCATAAAAGAGATACTTCTTGCATTATTTACCCTGTTCTACGGATGTGAACATTTCTGAGATTAGGTTGCCACTGTGTTTGAAAGATAATGTAAAATAAAATGAATCCATTCTTTCTCCCAAAGTGGAGCTACAGCTGGGTAAGTGTAGGGTCAGGGTAAGTTTTATCAGAAGCCAAATGAAAAAGGATAAAAACATGGGCTGAGGCACAGCCCCTCAGAAAAGGGGTGATCAGGAATCAACAGGGCAGTCGTGTTTGATTGGCATGGCCAGTGGGCCTAATTCCCAGGGCACTGGGGTCAACGGAGTGTCAGAGAGGAGGGTGACATGGGCTCCCTTGAGAATCACAGACTCACAGAGACCTGTTGAGAAAAGAGGCCGTTGCAGAGAGTGTGCTCAGGGCTCAAGGCTGGGAAGAAGGAGGTACAAAAGGACATCGGGGACTCCTCCGGGATACAAAGCCTGCAAAAGGAGAAAGGAGTGGGTGTGACCAGTGCCCCAGAGAAATATGTCAGCCGGGTCGGAGGCAAGAAGCCCAGCCTTCCCGGGGCAGCTGCACATGACTGACAGTCTACGGGATTGGCACCTCTACCAATTCCACCGCCTGATTCAGGGAGAGTGGGGAGCCTACAGATAACCAGCATCACCAGGAGGAACTGGGATTTAGATAAAAGGGCAGAAAATTCTGTCTTCTGTTCAAGACTCGTAATTGCCTGCAATAGCCAGACTGCCCCCGAAGCACACGCGGTTACACAGGGTTTTAGAGTGAGTGGAGAGAGGTAAGGCAGAAGGAAATGAGTAACAACAGAGAACTGAAGCCTCCATTTTGGAGCCAAAAAACAAGTGTTTTCATTTACTCAATGTCTATAGGAGGACTTTTTCCATGGAAAGCCCTGAGAGTGCAGAGGGAGGCAGAGGTTCAAAAGGTGGTTCCTCCAGCCCTCTGAAGCTCATTCTCCTTCGCACATACGTACAGCGCCAGGACAGCCCCGCTTGGGGTGATCAGATAGGGCCTGGGGGCTGCCAGCTGTCCTACATGTACCTCCTGTTAATCCTATGTGCACAAGTCCTTGAACAAAGAGCTGGAGGGCTCCTGGCCTGGGACTAGACATGACCAGATTCACAGTGGTCTCTCCTCCCGTTGGGGTTTCAGGTGCTGAGAAGGCCAGACTGGCAATGAAGGACCCCGTTCAAGGTGAGAGACTAGACACGAAGGCCTCCCCCCGGTAAGCCTGCATGGGAACCACTGACTTGGGTGTAGTTCTCTTTGGGATTCCCCGTGGGGCAACTGGCCCGGCATGGAATCTTGGCTTCCACAGCTATTCTGTAGCCTGTAGCTGTTGACTAGCTGTGTGCTGCCAGGACAGGGCGAGCACAGGCAGATGGTTATAAACAGGAGCCTCCGAGCCAGCGGGATCCCAGCTGTTGACCTTGACGGCACTTCTCTGAGCCTCATTTCCTTTACCTGGAGGACGCGCTCAGGAGGGCGCCTACTCCTGCTGCCTCCTCAGCCTTATCGCGCATCGGGTCCCTCCTCCCGCTGTGCGTCCTGCCCGCTACGCTGACCCTGTTCCTGCTTCTCATGCGCCCTGAGCTCAGCCCCGGCTCAGACCCCGGGGCAGGCTCTCCCCAGCCTGCTTTCCACCCTGCAGTCTTCACTCAGATATCCCCCTTAGCCGTACAGTCATTAGTCCTTGGCCAGACAATCTCAAGGAGCGGCTCCCCCAGCTTCAGGGTTGCGTTTTCATTCTGATCTATTGTCCTCACAAAATTTGCTACTCTTTGAAACTATCTTGTTTACACATTGATTTGGCACTCGCTCAGTAAGCATTTTCCTTCCTCCTTATCTAAAAGTGTACCCCATCTCTCCCCTATTTCTCTTCCCTGCTTTATTTTCCTTACTGATACTTAAAGTATGATACACTATTTAATCCACTTCTTTCTTTAGTTTGTTGTCTGTCTTTTCCCCACTAGAATATAGCTCTGTGGAGGCAGACATTTTTGTTTATTTGGTCACTGCTGTATCCTGAGTGCCTAGCAGGACACTTGACACGTAGTAGGCCGTCAACAGTGTTTACTGGAGAGCACGATCTATTTGCTCATTGTCTGTCCCCCTTCACCAGCAGGTTAACACTACTTGAGCAGGCACTTTATCCCCTGTTCGCTGTTGCATGTCACAACTCCATAAGGACACCCAAGAAATATCTGTTCAGTTCATGAGTGGCACCCACTTCATAGGGATATTTGAAGATTCAAATGAGATAATCCCCATAAACCTGACACAAGTGCCATGCACATTGTAATAGTTCGGTAAAAATTAAGATGCAATTACTATTAAAAATTGAGCTTCTGGCATCAAACCCATATAGACTCTTGTGTTTCCTTAATTTGCACTTCAGAACCCAGGACTTGTCATATTTGTACCCCAAGAATTTGCATCAGCTTCTGGTTTACAGGAGTTCAGGCAAGATGGGGCCCTTTAAACTTTATCCTGATCTAGGAAATAATCTCATTATTATTTTTTCATGGTAAAACACATCTTTTTTGTTGAGTCAGCCTGGAGTATTGAAGCTCAACTATCAAGTGCTCTGTTAAATTACATCAAAATCTAGGGTTGAACATTTCCCACCAGCTAATAGCCCCCCAAACCTTGGAAACCTGATTGGTTTTTTGCTGGGGGGAGGCTGTGCTGGGTTTTGCTGCTGCGAGGGCTTTTCTCTAGTTGCCGTGAGTGGAGGCTACTCTCCAGTTGTAGTGCAGGGCTGCTCATTGCCGTGGCTTCAGTAGTCACAGCTCAAACCTGTGTGTCCTGCATTGGCAGACAGATTCTTTACCCCTGAACCACCAGGGAGACCCTGAATTCACTTTTAAAAGTGACATTTTAAAATGAGTTTGAAGTGCTATTAATTTGTAACCACCTGACAAAACAATATGGCTAGATATAAAGTAGTACAATACAAGCTGGATTCACAAGTTTGAAATTAAAGAAATTAAAATTAAAGATGAAACAAGCCGTGATATTCAAGTTCTGTTTAAGAGATCTTCTGTATCTTCTGGTACTCTGGTACTTCTGCTCCTCTTCTCCTGTTCAGATAATTTGAATTTGTTTTAATTATAGCAATTTGAAGAGTTCTCAAAATAAGATCTGACCTTCATCCCTGCAATAACAGACACGATTTATTTACCTTAAATTATAAGTTAGTGTATTTTGGAATTTTTCAATCACATATACAGCAAAACTTTATCTATACAAAACTCAGCTATCCTGAAATCTCAGGGAGACAGGGGGTGTTGGCTCAAGACCATCAGGAAAAAAAAAAAATAATTTAAAAGAGGCCTCTGGTTAGCCAAATAAATTTTGGAAAATGTATACACTAAAGCTCATGCACTTTATTTAAGTGGCAACTCAGAATCTATTTTGGCCTCGTTGATTTAGCATTCTAAACCTACTGATTAAATGTTACATAAAAAGGAGGGAGTTTGAGATAGTTCTTCAAAGTTTTAATATTAACGTCATCCGTAAGTGATGCCCAACAGCTCATCAGCAATGAAGGAGGCAACCAAATCAAGAACCAAGAACCAATGAGTAAAACTGCCTATATGAAGTAGATACTTGACAGTTCATTGCAGGGACAACATTCCAAGAGCTGTCACTGTGTTTCAGCTAATCTTGACAATGAGAAAGCTGAGTCATCAAAGAAAGATAAGTTAGGTTCAGAACACTCTGTGTACAAATGGAGAGAAGTGTTTAGCCAAACAGAAAATTAAGCTATTCAGAGTTATTCATTCAGCAAATCTTTACTGAATGTTTTTATTTATGTGCCAAATACTGTGCTAGGTAGGTCTTGGGAACACACAGCAGTTCTGACTCTCAAGAAACTCACATTCTAAGTCAGGTTTCTAAGTGTGGTCAGCGAACCCCTAGGTCCATAAAATCCTTCCAGGCTATGTTCAAGGTCAAAGTTATTTTATTAATACACACAAGGATGGCATTTGCTTATTTCCCACTGTTTTGGCACTTTCACTTATAGTGCAACAGTAACGGTGAGTACAACTGCTACCTCAGCTTGTAACTGAAATAGTTGCTGGTTCCTCAGCCTGAATCAAGAGAGTGGCACCAAACCTACTAGTCATCACTGAAGGAAAACACGTGCGCAGTAAAAAACAAAAACCAAAACTCCTGCTACTGTCACTGTAGAATGTCCTTGACAAAGTAGGAAAAATGATTTTATTAAATTTCAACTTGAAATATGTCTTTTTTAATATTCTGTGTTATGAAATGGAAGGTATGCATAAATCACTTTTGCTGCCTGTCGAAGTATGATGGCTGTCTAGAGGAAAAACACGTGTGTGATTGCTGGAGTTCCAAGCTGAAATAGCTACTTTTTTAGTGGTACAAAATTTTCACTTGATGATTGACACACAAACTGTTCAAAGTTGGGTATTTGGCAGAAATTTTGGCAGAAGTTTTGTCAGAAGTGAGAAACGTGTGCTTATCACTTCAACAAAACTAACTATAGTGTTTGTTGCCAATAATGCAGTTTGAGCTTTCAGATGAAACTTTGAGCTCTGGAAAACTAGAAGTTGCAGCTTCCCAATAATAAAAGACTTGTCTGATGAGAATGGTATTAGCAAGTTGGGTTTTTTAGTATATATATATATTATATAATGAAATCATCAGATTAGAATGATGTATATAATTCAGTGAACCTATCTTTTCCACATTACCAAAATGTATGTTATAAAATCATACATGATTAAAAAAATTCACTCAAAGTGAAGAATAGAGCAAGTGGACTTGTATGTAACAAAATACAAAAATTTCATTGATTTACTTTCAGATTACACATTGAAAGTAAACGTTGAGAATCTACCATTTGTCAAGTTTTAGCATAGTATCAAAGAAGAATATCCACAATTACCTGAAAAGGTTATTAAAAAAGCTCTCCCTTTTCCAACTATCTATATGAAACTGGAGTCTCCTCATATACTTCAAGCCAAAACAATTTATTGCAACATACCAAATGCAAAGGCACAGAGGAGAGTCCATTATAAAAATGTATAATAATGCCATATTCTCTCTGAAATTTTAATTTGAAAAATATAATTTTCATAAAAATATGTTCTTAGACATTAACATGTAATGTTTATTATTATTATTTTAAATGAATTGATAAAAATATTTTAATAATTTCCCAACTTGAATTTCTAATACAATAAATATCAATAGTGATATCCACATTTACAAAAGCTCTTCAGGGTCCTTAATAATTTTTAAGAATAAAAATCAGCCCCACTCGCAAAACCTCAAGAATCAATGGTCGAGGGGCTTCTCTGGTGGCTCAGTGGTAAAGAATCCACCTGCCAATGCAGGAGACACATGTTCAGTCCCTGATCTGGGAAGATGCAATATGCTGCCTGCCTTGGAGCAGCTAAGCCCGAGTGCTACAGCTATTGAGCCTGTGCAATAGAGCCGGGGAGCCACAGCTTACTGAAGCCTTGGGTGCCCGAGAGCCCAGGCTCCGCATCAAGAGAAGTTACCATGATGCGAATCCTGTGCACCACAACCAGAGATGAGCCCCTGTTTGCTGCAACTAGAGAAAAGCCCAGGCAGCAACAAAGACCCAGTACAGCCAAAAATTAATTAATTAATTAAATCATTTTTTAAAAAAAGAACCAGTGGTCTAAGAAGAAGACAGAGACTTGTAAGTCACTAACTCTAACCTGCTCCTGTAAGGACTCTGATAGAAAGAAACACATGGTATTACGGGAGGTTAGAGGATCCAGTCCAGTCTTGGAGAGTCAGGGAAAGCTCCCTTGAGAAGGTTCTCTGCTAGGACCTGATGGATGAAAAGTTAGCATAGTAAGAGGGGTACGATGTTCAGGATATAAGGAGGAGCTTTCGCAAAGGTCCAGAGGGAAGTCAGAGTATGGCTCATTTATGAATATCAAAGTTACTTGGTAGAGCTAGATGCTAGTTTGTGATAACCTAGACTCTTCTACTTATATTATTATTTCAATAAAATGAGCATATATGTACAGGGAAGGATGAAAAATGAACTCTCTCAAGACACACAATCCCAAGAAAGGTGGGAAAGCTGGAAATAGTCTCTGGCATACTGTAAATATTTATGGAAAGTTTAAAAGAACCACCTGAATAAATTGGCACAAATATTTAATTAGAAGTTGTAATCTATATTCCATAATGTCTCTAAACATAAGCCAAAATTCAGACTATTTTTAAAAGTTTTTTGCGTTTAAAAGAATTCTAATGAGAGATTAATTTTAAAGTCTGATGTGATTTTGAAAAATTACATGTTTAAGTTTAAAGTCTTATATTCTTTAGAAATACTGTTTTCATACAGATCAGTGGTGGTTCTCTCATGAGTTCGGATCATATCCAACAGTGATTTCCTCTATAAGAGTCATAGATTGTAATGTCAGCTTCTCTACATCTTGGTAGCTTCTTTGCATACGGTCATGGTTTCCTGTTTTTCCATTTCTGTTCTCTCTGTGTCTTCACATCACACTAAAGAAAGCCTTTCAATTAAATGCTCTTGAAACCTCCCCAGGAATGAGGTTTT